TTTAAAACCTATTTAAATTATCTGAACTGTGCAATGCTCTCAAAAATGAGCTGTATTACTAAGAAAAAAATAGCAGAATTCAGAGCACTCTGGTAAACAGATGGGGCTTTTTTTGCTCAGGCATAGCTAGGTGTTTGGGGAGTTACTTAAAATAGGCATCTCTTGCTGATTTAGAAGCCCCAAAATAGCTCTCCTGCTACTCCTCTACAAGGGTATTTCCTATAGGATCTCTCATGTTTACCAGCTCTTTACAGCTGTTTTGGAGATATTTGGGTGTCAACATAAATACTAGATGCCTGTGTGTAGGCAGTGGAGTTTCACCTCTTAAGCATATGCTCTAAGTGGAAATAAACTTTGTGCCCATCTGAAGATAATCTCCTATTCCAAGATTGGTGTAATCTTGGTTATTACTCTATATTTTGCTTTCTGTATCTCTTGTGTATTTGCAAGTTGGCTCCATGTGGCTCTGGGCTTCCCTAGAGAGGGTGCTTGGCTCTGCCCTCCGATGGGGTTATCCCAGTCTCGGACGTCCAGGGAGACCCCCCTGCCTCTTGCTGCGGAAGGATGTTCCAAATAGAGGTCGATTCCCATGGTTTTAGCTGATTAGTAATAGATTTTACCAGGGAGATGCATTTTATCTGGAAGAATGGTGCAGTGAGAAATACCATGATCTGTGCTGGGAAGGCGCCTTCCCCGGTTCTTGGCAATAAGACTTTTCATGAATATTTTTTTTTCGTCTACAGTAGTTTTTTTTTTTTTTAGAGGGAAGAACCCAGAACCATTAAGAAAAAAGATGCAAACCTGAGTGCATGTGTGAAGGAATTGCTGTGTTCTTGTGGCTGTGCTATGAAAAGAGGTTTTGAAAGATTAGGTGCAGACTTGTGTGGAAAATGATCTCATGTTTTGCTCTCTAAGTTATATTTCCTAAGTTTTGTGACAGAAAATACCAGGAAATTAATTCAGGTTTCAGGAAATGAATGTCTAAAAGCGATGTCTATCATCCTCAGGTATGGGATATGAAAGAAAACAGGATATGGCCATTTGCTATCTAGGTTAAAGTTTCAGTTTTTTAACAGTTTTAGTAGAAGTTAGGTTTGTAGATTCTTTTATTAAAAAAAAAAAAAAGCACATTGCATGATGTGTACCAATAAGCTGCTATTTTCCAACCAGAAGGTGTTTGAATATAGTGCAAATAGAAGAATTCAGAGGAAAGGTGTTTGGTTAAGAAACAGCAGGGACTTAAAGATTTAGTGTGCAATATTGTTTTTAGTCCTTTAAGATGAAATGCCCTTTGTAAATGTGATATAACTTTGGAGACAGGAATTAAATAGAGAGCAAAACTAAGCTGTGTCCTTCCCACTTTCTTGAGTAATATTGGCAATGCAATAACAGGTTTGCATTGCTAATGCCATCTACTTCACACGCATGCACACACAGACACATGACCATCACAGTCATAGAAGGGCACATAGTGGTTTATCATTGCTAGAATTGTACTTCTCAGTTATTTCTGTGTGCAGATTAAGCCATGATATAAAACGCTGTGATACAACGGCTTGGTTTGTACTATTTGTAGGTGTTCATGCTGTGAACATGAACATTTCTATTGCGGAAAGTCTTTGGTATTTATTTCCAAGTGTTTAACAGCCTTCAAGTACTTGAGAAGATCTACAGTTTGTAGGGCTAGGTTAGTCAAAAGTCAATGATCCATTCCAGAAAACAGTTGTGAAGTTGTGCAATTGCAAATGATGCTCTTCATATAGATATGAATAAATACAGATATCTCTATCTATTCAGTAGATATCTTCTCCTTTAACCAGATGTGTGGGAGGGGTGAAGCACCACCTTGCAGCTGGCCTGTGCTGTGTGTGGTATGCAAAGGTTTCCAGGAGCAGCCAGACAGAACTGATTTGGGAAAGGAGATATTTCTGGCTCTTCCACTGTATGCTTTGCCCAGAAAGGCTTTGACAACCTCATCCACCTGCTACGTACAAAACTGCTCTTTTATTTATTTGTTTATTTTAACAGCAAGTGATGCAATTTTGAATTTGTTAGGTATGGTCATGAACCATTTCCATCCCAAGGGAATAAAGCCCAAGAAAATACATTCTTTCTGAGGGTACAAAGAGCTTTGCAAAGCAGGGACCACTTAGGCTATGGCTGTTTCCTATTTGTAGTCCTTTTGAAAAAAGCAGGAGAGAGGTGAAGAGAAACTCCACCTGCCCCAGGAGGCCACCTGCCTGGCCATTGCTTGCCAAATGGATGCCACGAAATACTGCCAGCCACTGAGCAGACACAGGGACAGGCTGTCAAGTCACTTCTGGAGGCAGGTTTTACATGTTTGGAGATTAGGCCAGCAAAGCCTTCCGTGTTGCTGGACCAACTCCAGTAATTTCAGCTAAAGTTGACCAAAATAGCTTCTGAATGTATCAGAGCGTTGCCCATGATGGCACAGAAATCATCTTGGTTTTCATATAATTGGTTTTATTATTATTGCTGTCAGTATTAATATTATGTTATTATTATTATCATACCTACAGGTAGGTGTCATGCAGTTCTTTCACTCTGCCAGAAGTTGCTCGCTTTCCTTGCTCACATTCAAAATGAAGTGCAATCTTCTTATTAGATCTATACGAGTATCCTTAAGTGTTTTTCTCAACATGGAAATGAAATATTGTGAGAAACCTCAATATAGAAAAGAGAAACAGCATAAGTGGCAGGAAACTGAAGTGTGGATGGAGCCCATGTTTGGGTTTGCAAGCCACATGGCAAGCAGACCTGTCCAAAACACTCTGGCATCTCACATGAGATGACTGTAGAAAGAGCTAGGCAATCGTGCCATGCGAGAGGGAGATCCAATAAGATTATCTCTGAGATAGGAAATAATTGAACTACATATCAAAATCAAAAGAGATTAACAAAAGATGGAGTTCAGTTGACCCAAATCACAACTTGTAGTCATCTTCAGCAAGGAGGATATTACAGAAACAATGTGTGCTTTGACAAGAAAATTTCTGAAATATTTGAAATCAAATATGTATTCACATAAGCAAAGGGAATTTTAATGACATAAAGTGGAATTGGATGATGTCATTTATTTGAGTACAAGCTTTAGGAGAGGCCTCAAAGAAGTAGTGAGTTTGGCTTGCTTTTCTGACATAAGTATGCTGGATTTTTTACTGCAAGCAATGTGCACACAGATAGATCCTGGTTTCATCAGCAAGCATATATGTTAAATGGGTTGCAAACAATTGTGCTTATTTCAAGTGTCTGAAATTCAAAGCTTGGTTTTTAGTCAAGCTTGAAAGACTTCGGTGGAAAATCACTCTAATTTCCAAATTATTTCAAAGAAAAAAAAAAAAAGGCTGCTGATTCTTGTGTGAAAAAAAAAAATGGATGTGAAGTCCTGGATTGAAAAGCTTTGAGAGGAGTTCCTGAAGGTTTAAGCAAATTGGAAAGGAATTCAGAAACTGTTTCCAGACTGTTTCATTCCAGGATACTGAATGATGTTTTTATTAGGTAAACTGTCATTCTACTAAATAGGCTTCATTCAGACAGCAATTTCTTTTCAATGCGGACAATGTGTGGATACTCATTTTTTATTAGGAGAGAGGATTTTTAATAGCAGAAAGCATCTTCTTTGCAAAGCCTACCTCAAAGTCTTCCACAAGGAGGTAGAAAGGCATTCAAAAAAAATTATGATGATTTTTTTTCTTTTTTTTGTGTGTGAGAAATCAATTTTGGCAACAAAAATGTGACAGATTACAAGTAGCCGTATAAGATGTGAGAAGCTTCTGGCTACAGGGGCAGATCTCAGACCAATGGGAATGAGCTCCAGCCTCTTGGCAAGGCCTCTTCTTGCCCTTCCTTCTTTCCTTCCTGTCCTTCCTTCTTTCTGCCTTAGTGGTTCTGGTGTCCTTCTTTGGACCCTGCAAGAAACGCGGTGTCACTTTCATCTGGAACTCGAGACCTGCAGATGAGTGAGAGGCGCCTAGTGAGAAGAGAACTTCTAGTATGAAGTATTGCACTTGAATGTTTAAAAAGGACACAAGTAGATTTTTTTTCCTCTTTTCCTAGAAATTTCCTAGAAATGCTGTAAGGCTTCCACTACTCGTGCAAACAGTGCACTTGCAAAGCCTTTCCTTAGGCTAACCTCACCAAAATATCTGTGACTTCTCTTCATCGTGTACAATATATTGGGGAATGCAGTGAATATACATGGTGAATGCACACGCTTGAAGAAGACAAATTCTGGAATTAGAGGCACTATCCAGAGACATTTATTTTCCTCTTGAATGCAAGACTGAGCTGATAGCGATCCAAGTTGGTTGGCCTCCCTGGTCTCCCGTGCAGATTTCCTGGTTCATGTAGTTAAGAAATCAGGTGAATCCATCATTACCTGCACATATGATGCGTCTTACTCAGTTGGAATAAGAAATGGAAATTTAAGTAGACAGAACTGTAATGCCATTCTCACAGTCCAAAGAGGCAAATCCCATGCTATAGCTTAAAGGCCATGTATGAAATAATTCTTGTTACTCCACAAAATAATCTTTTTCTATTCGTCCTTTTAGTCTGTTCATCTCCTGGCTGTTTTTGCTAGCTGTTTTTGTTGTTCTGTAAAACTTCAGCTCTCTCGCTAAAGAGCTGTTCAGTGAAGACATTGTGTCTGGCATGATTTCTACAAAGATGTATTATTGCCTTTTTTTTTAAGTATAGAAGTATATATTGGAAACATTTAAGAATCTGATTATATCTCAAATAAATCATTTACACGCTTCGCATCAGTTTCAGCTGGCTTTGATTTAGACCTCAAATCTCTATAGAGAATCAAAGGAGGTTTTGTGTGAGTAGGTCATGAACACTGTAAGATGAACACTGTATATGATAATTTAATAATTCTGCATAGCCAAGAAAAGCAGCGTGAGGATGATGATCATCTCATGAATATCATGGGATTATGGTGCACCCAACATTCTCTTTATTGCTTTATGTTTCAGCAAAACATACAGTCATTTTGCCCACACAATGTTACACAGCTGAATATCCAGCTGATTTGAGCAACACGTTTCTTATCGTGCATTTCTTCAAGGTACATTCAAAACTGCTTTGGTAAAAACCTAGTGTAAGCTGCATATAAAGCAAGTAGTGCAGATTCTCTTTTGATGTCCGCGTGCCTAAAACATCAGAGGGAGGAAATTCACTGCTTAAATAAAGCAATAGCCTTGGTTATAGAGCAACAAGCCCATGCAGGAGCCCATTTTGGCTTTAAGGAGGTAAATAAAAGGTGTGAAATAAAACACACTTTGCCAACTCATGGTGACACGAGGTCCCAACAGGGAGGGACTGCAGGCAGCTGAAATAAACAGTTCATAAACTGCTGAAATTCTCTGGCTAAATCTGGCCCAGTGATCAGAAGCGCTGGAGAAATGAGTTTTGAAAATTCTTATTTCTCCTTTAGCCCTCTGCAAATGTTTGGAAAAAAAGATGTAATTTAACTTGCATTGCATTATACCCTTGCTTGCTAATAAACAAAACAGCAATACACCATTGGGTTAATTTTGTGCAGTCAGTTTTTCAATTGTATATATATAAAAAAATCTTGATTATTGATTTACCCTCAAGTTATTCTCTGCAACAAAGTACTTTAATGAAAAAAAATATTTAAGCAATTCACTTTATAAAACTTGCTGAAAATGCTCCATGTAAAGTAATTAACAGTTTGCAGTATCTGGCCTCTTGTTTTTATGTTATCCAGCTTTTTCAAATGCGACCTGCTGAAAGCCGTTATCTGAACTCACTGCATGTTTTATTTCCTTTTTTATTTCCTGCGCCCAGTCAAATGTCTCTGCAGACAAAGAGAGTCTTCGCGTTTCCTCGAGGAAGAAAGAAAACCAGAGCATCCAGGAGTGTGATTCTCAGGACGTAAGTTGAACCCACTTGCAAGCCAGGTTTTGCCTGTAGACTCCATGGAGATATTAAAGCCTTAGACAGCTACTGACGTGGGAGATGCTGAGCTGGAGCCGGGCAGGTGGAAACACAACTGTGCACGTGGACATGTTGAGGCACCATGGTGGGAACTCTTAGCATAAATCCCAAATGAATTTAATGTGGAGATATCTGGATGGCTTGCTGGTGGTAGTCACAGCAATGGGCAGCGCTTGGAGGGAGATAAATACCAAACAGATTGCCAAAAGCCATGTATTTCATTCATTTGCTGAGCATTGCTGTTCATCTACTGCAGAAGAACATACAACATTTCAGATTTCAAGGCAAAAGAGAAATAAGGTAAATGACTGGTTGCTTGTTCAACTGATGTTCTTGGTCTACATGACTGACCATCTCTCTAATTGACTCTAATTTGCTGATCCTGTTGCAACTTTTCTTTGTAGCTTTAGGCATGTTCATACTGATTAATGTAGCTTATGCTGGAATGTAGACAAATGAAATTTTATTTACAAATGGGATACAGGCAGGCCAACAAAATTAAATGTTTCTGTCACCTTTGCTGTCACAATATTTGATACAGGACTTGTAGCTGTAAGTAGGCAGGACATCCTGTAATTCAAAATTTTGATTGCCCAAATCATCTGAAATTTGTCCATGAAAATTAGACTATAATATCTTAACTCCAGGACCTTTCAAAAGGTCCTGTTGCTCTTGAGTTTTATTTTTACCAGAGCAATCGCCTCAGGAGTATTTTTCTTAGTCTTGTTGGAGACCTTTCCCGTATGAGTGGCTCTTGAAAGTCTCTGTGCAGAAATCTTGAGCTCTTATTGATGCATCATTTCCCTCCTCCCTTGTGAAGGCCTACTGCTATTACCCAAGAATGCACTTTGCCTCTTTATCATATCAAATAATCCTTATGCGAGTGACACATGTCACTTAAAACCATCTATTTGGTAGTGTTAAAACATTAGATGATTAGAAAATGATTCTTTGTTTCCTGCTCTCCCTTTAGATTTCTTGCTCTTTGTCCTTGCGGAGTCTTTTCTGATAAATAAAAGCGATGGTGCTTTTATTTACTGCCTTAATTTCCTGCAGTAAACAAACACTGCATATTCATTAATCACTCGGTGACAGAGGACAGAGAGTATTGGACCAAAACACACACATGTTCCTAAGCAACCACACCATTTAGCTTCATTTTCCTCTGGGTTTCAGTCACAGAGGTTTGATCAAACCTTACCCTTGCTTTCCCAAAGGAGTAATGAGAGGGGGAAAAAAAAAATCATTGCGGTAACAAAATTTCAACATGATGAAATTCTTAAAATTAATTCAGTAGTTCTGTTCCCTAAATGAAGGCTGTGAAGGTCATAGAGAGTTAAATCTGTTTGGTTGCACCAGCTACTCAATACGCTGTGTGCTTTACGGTAAGAGTGAGGTATGAAAAACTGCAAGGGTGTCTTATGAAAATATACATGCCCTTGGAATGTGTCTTGCACCTTATCTTAATAAACAGGGAGGGTCATATGAGGTTAATATATAGATCTATTCCATGTTCGCGAGCAGAGCTGATAAAATCTGTCCTTGAATAAACTGTAGACCCAACTTGGCTAATAATGTTATTTACACTGCAGAATGGTATTTCAAGAGAAGAACATCTATCCTGTATATCACCATGCTTATGCCGTATTAATGTAGAAAATATAGATCTATGTTTGATTTTGAAATCCAGGTTAATCTGGATATGGATATAGCTTGTGTATGTTTTAAGTGCATATGTTGTCAATGCTGTATAAAAGAGCTGTTAAGAGAGTGTTCCATGGAAATATGGGAATTATTGTGACAGAAGAAAAATGAGGGAATCAAATATCAAGGCATATTCAACAGTGGGCCTAACTGCATGCAGCGCTGCCGACTTTGCTGAAGCTGAACATTATGTGCTAGTGCAGAAATCTTTCCTCCAAATGATCTGTTTGTCTCCAGTTCAGGAATTGGAAGCTTGATAATATTCTCAAGCAAAATAAAGGGTAAGAAATTTGAAAGTATCCACTCAGCTTAGGAAGACCAGATTGTGGACAAGAAGTGTGTATTTCATGTATTAAAAAGCTCTTTCCTTTCTGTGAGTTGAGTTAATCAATGTCCTCACTAGCGGGCAAATCTCCCACATTTTGGGCTGGTTTTACCAGACATTGCTCAGCGGTTTGTGCATTAATTTTTGCAGTTTAATAGACAAGGGAGTGCAGGGTTTTAACTTTCTTTTGAGGATTCTCTTTAAATGAAGATGCAACCTTTATAATTTACGCGTCCAGCTGTGAGCTGCTCCAGCTCTGCTGTATAAATTGCTAGCTGAAGTGAGCATCATAGCTTATGAATTTTGGTTATCTTGTCTCGTTAAATATCTCATTAACTATTCCAGGTGTTTTGAGTCCTGTTGAATGTACACAATGCATGCCTTAAGGCAAAATGCCCCGTAATACTTTGCTTTGTAAATGCAAATAAAGAAATCATTAATACATTTCTTAATGTTCAAACAGAGCAAGTAACATGAGCCCTAAACACCACTAAATTCATTCTGCTCAAGTATTTTTCTACCATGCAGAAGAAAATCAGAATTAGCCTTCTCCTCTCTTTAGATTACAAACAGCCATAAAAATTACAATTTGTGGCAAGGTTCAATTTTAGAGAGATGGTAAGAAGAAGATACACAATTAGATGAGATCAAATAACAATAAAATCACAAAACAGTCTAGTCATCTAGCAAACTGACTTGGATAAAGATTTCTGCAATGTCTTTTTTCCTGAGGCCTTTTCCTTGGGGAAGGCTTAGATCTCACTTCTCAAACTTCTCCCTGCAGTGTATTAAAGCTTTTAAAACCGAATGTTCAAGCGCTTCGTCCTGCTTGATGCCTTATGTTCAAAATGCAGCATATGTAGCTTAATGAATAAAATGCTATGCTATAAATAAGCTTATAAATTGCAAAAAGTATGGCAGGCATACTTGAAATCTCAATGAGAGCATAGCACAGTAATGGCAAGGCAAAGAACATTTCCATAAATAAAATATACAGGCTGCTCTGTTAAAGTAATTCATTTGTGGGTGAAGCTCTGGAATCGGTCACTAATGGCTAGATGTAGCACATGAAATTATTATAATTATTATTATAATAATGTAATATTAGGGAGGGGAGGGGGAACTTCAGAGAAATTAATCTTTCTGTCTTGTTAGATTCAGGGATTGTGTTTCTGGAGGAGATTTCTACAGCCTACCACCTCCATGCCCCAGGTCAACGCCAGCTGAGCTCCTTTAAGGATGAAGTGTATATGTATATTTATATACATTTATATTTATATGTATTTAGGTTCATCTCTACTGTTCGACCTCTAATTTATTTGTTAGCAATATCAGAGATTTCGTAGTGACAAGGAATCAATAATTAACGTTGTTTTGGCAGTGTAAAGACACAGGAGTTGACTGCTGTGTCTAGAAAAATGTCCTGCTCTGCTCACTCTAGCCCAGCTCTGCTCTCCCTTATGTGCTGCTAGAAAGGGTAAAAGCTGTAAATTGAAAAAAATATGAAGTAGTAGAGACCTTCACTTCTCTTTGCCCACCGAGATGGTCCTCAATAACTGGCCTATGGAAAGAAATATGAAGGATTAATCACTCATAAAGCATTATTTTTATGAGTATATGTTTTATTTTTACCTTCCCTAAGGTAAGCATTTCTTTTCGGTATCACTTACATGGTCACCCTCCCTTTTTTTTTTTTTTTTTAATTTCAGTTGGTATCTTTTGATTTCTATCTCTATTTCCTTTGAGATGTGACCTGAAACTTTTTGGTCTATATATAAAGTGACTTTAAATTTCACTAGTATTACTTCTATCCTCTTCCTTAAATAACCTGAAATGGTGTTGCTTTTTTGACCTGTTGCATCTTTTGTCCTCAAGCTGCTCACTTGGAGATCTCTGAAATCCTAAAGATTTTCCTAAATGTGATAAGTTGAAAATGCGTTTTCTCTGGCTCCTTAAATAGATATAGTAAATACCAGTTTTAGCCAGAACAAATGTTAGAAAATTATTTAAAATTTTTCCACTCAGTCACCTCACTCCTAAATATTTAACTAGAACATTAACTTGATACTTGTATTTCTTGTTTTGTTTGTTTGTTTGTTTTCTGTAAGAAAAGCAGTGGATACTTTATCGTTAGATTAAAAATGATTTTTTTTTAAATCAACACTATTTCAAGTCATTTCAATCACATCAGCTCAGAGGATCATTTTATTAGCTCAAACATGACTAAAAATGCCCTGAAGTACTGCTTGGCAATACCACGGACTTTCTCAAAGGTTTCAGTAGAAAGGCAGCAGCCCCCTCTTGTAGTAGTTTTCATAATAACACATTTCATTTTCTTATTCGCACCTCTGCATAGATCAACTTTGTCATAGGCAAGAGACTGTCAGAATTTTTCAAAAGATTTTCAATTGCTTGTTTTTTGATTAACGGCAACCTGATGTCACATGCACAAAGCATATTTAGACATTTTCTTGATATTTGATTTATATGGTAGGATGTTTAATGTCAGTGGTTCCCAGCTGGGTTAGGTAATTTTTATCCTGCTATAATTTAAGTTTCTTTTGGATGAATTTAGACTGAATTTCTCTTAAAAGCACCATTTAAGCAGATTTTTTCCTCTTGTCTTTGTTCGTGATTCCTTTGCCCTACACAAACCATATAGCTGATTCTGTCCTACAACAATGTTATCAACAATACGTTTTTGAAATATTATTGCAAGTTGCAGAAATGCCAACAAACCTGGTAGTGGATATTGCTGGGAGTAAGTACACATTCATGTTAATACTGCTGTGAACATGATTTCTGAGCCTTATTTTTACCAATATGTTAAACTGCATCTGATGTCTAAAAATACTCTAACTAGGTATGACTTAGCTTTGAAAATTTTCAAGAACTGATGCAAGACAGGGAGCATTTCAGAGCAAGTTTTATGTTATAAAATAAGCAAAATTTCTGTTATGTTGGAAAGAGTCTTGATGACTTTTAAACTGGAAAGATATTATTTCCCTTTTCACTTTGTTTGAAAGTATCAGCTTTTAATTTCAAAATAAACAGAAGAAATCCAGTGTGAACATTATTTTAAAGCAATGGCTAAAGATTACCCATATTTTACTACGTTTTACACTTTAATTTCTTAAAAGAGGGAAAATCCACGCAAGCACTAAGTTGTTTTTCGAGTCACAGTAGACTATATGTGAATGATGGCAGAGTGGGATTCCCTTGGCTATTAGAACTCTTCTTTTTTCCCTCCATCTCATCAACTAGGCTAAGATAGTATGGCAAGTGTTTCAGGAAAATCGTGCCTGTTTTAGGAAACAACAGGCTCGTTTTAGGTAGTTACGGGTGACATCTGTATTTTGCAGGTCGGCAAGACGTGTTTGGGGAACCGCAATAATTCAACATCTCATTTGAAGGCAGCAGAAACAGAGATCAGCTTTCAGGTATTCCGTTTCTGAAATTCTCAAGGTTTTAACGAAAGGTCTTGTAAAATTTGCAATTACTTGAAGTACATGTACCCATTCTAAGCTAAAACTGAAACAGAGCTGCTTATTTAATTCAGTGTAAACTGTTTCTCTAGCTGTTTTCATTGGCTCTGTTTAAAATAGTTCTTCGTTATCACCCATTTGGGGAACTACCTAGTGTTTGAAGAGTATCATAGTGGTCTTAGAGTATCTTAGTAGTGAAACAGTAGCCACTGCTTTCTTATATATGTGCATGTCACAAATGCCATGCTTACACCAATGCTATTTTCACCTCCAACAGAAGTTGCACAGCCCTCCGTGGACTAAACCTGAAGACAAGAAAGTGCCCGAAAGAAATGAGAGAAAGTTTGACGAGGCTGTTAGTACAAAAGAAAAAAAGCCTCTAAGTGTTACTAAACTCCATTAGAAACATCCTTCACTTGCTCCCATCCTCATGTTCTTTTTAGTTCAGAGGCATGAACGTACCCGGTTTCTGAAGCATGCATTTTTTTTTCACTATTTTATGAATGTTTGTAAAATAGTCTAGACTAGACCAATTAGTACCTTTAAGCAATAATCCAAAATGGATGTTTGAAGAAACGCTTTGTAATACAGTCCAGGTTTTGAAATAGAATTCTACCTTGATCAGTAGTTGCCTATTATGAATTAGTTGGTTCCATCCTCAAGTATCCAGCTGCCATTCTCAAGTACCATCTTTAACATCTCTTCTACTTCTTGTACCTTTACAGCAGATTAGGATTGAAGTCAAGTGAAGAATACAAGGCAGTTAACATGAAAAAGGTATTTGAAAATCTTTGTAAACCTAGTTTTGGAGTACAGTGCAACTCATGAGAATAACTGTAAAAATGGACCATTAAGGACCCATGTGTATCTACATTTCAGTAATGCCATTCCACATCTGCTTACTTAAACAATAAAAGATGTTTGTTTGTTTGTTTGTTTTCTAACTGCTATCACTTAAGAGCTCAGTTTTGATCACAGAAATGGTGAAATGTAGAATTAAGGGAGTGGAGATGGGGAAGAGTTGCAGCTTTCAGGATTCAAGGAAAAAAATTTGCACATGGAACTGGGTGAAAATTTTCCCGCTCTGGTTCTGGGGATTCAGTTCCCACCTTGCAGTTGTGCTGGTCTCAATGGGATAGATAGATTTTCAATGGAAAAAAAATACAGTTTGACCACTGCCTGGAAAGGCACATGCTGCTTCCTAGGAAGTGATCTCTCTGCTTGCTAGGACTTGTCTTGGAATTGTCTAGGAATTCACCCCTCTGCTTTCTAGGATTTTTTCTGATACTTTCTAGGAAATCATGCTGCTTTCTGAGGATATGCATCACCTAATTCTTATTTCACCACAAGGTAATTCACCTAATGCATTTGTTTGCTGTAAGGAATTCAGCACTAAATATCTGTTCTATTTTCTTTTTTCCCTACGAAACAAGATTCATTGTAAGAAGCCTTCTTTTAACCATGGACCATGAGCATGGTTATACCTGCATGCACATATGCTTTCACTCTCATTTGTGTAACTACGTCAATACGAATAATATAAATTTGACTTACTATAACATTAATATAACAATATGGGATAGTATTCGTCACCTTATTTTTCATTTCAAGTCAAATTATGATAGATTAAAAAAATACTATGTAAGAATATAAAGTATTAGCACTATTTCTTGGCTTTCTTGTTTAACAAAAAGTTTAAATTCTATATGTTTCTGGAAAAATTCACAACAGGATCTTACACAGTAAACAGTTAATGAGGGGTTTTTCCCCACTACATTCTACATGTTTTGAGCATTTTTTTCTAGATATGTTGACAAGGTGTTTATGGGGGAAAGTCCGTTTTTTTTTTTCTCCCCCTCCCTATGACAAGAAAAAATAAATAAGTAAAAATAATGAAAAACAGGTAGCAAAATCTGTACCTGAAATCCTCCTTGGTGTCTCACATGATCACTTAATTTTTTATTAGTGTTTCTTTCTAAAGATGACTTTAAAAGTTGGCTACTTAACTTACTGGCATACTTGTGATTAAATAGATGTTAAAATACACTGCTGTCCACAAATTATTGGTTTATTTAAATTACTATTTTAAAAAGAAAAAAAAAAGAAAGGCAAACCTTAGATACTAGCAGTCCTCAGAGACCATTAAACTTCTCCCAAAATATTCTTAAAGGTGTTGCAAATCAGCACTAGACAATGGTGTGTAAAACATTTTAACTTGATTCTATTGGAATATTTTTAGCTCATAAATTCTGGGTTTGATTCAGGCCATGAAATAACCGATGTGCATTTACATACGTAAATGATGTAAAAAAGTTACCTTAGTAGTTACTTACTATATCTCCTCTAACTGAAAATACTTTTTGTTAAATTTCTGTATTTTTTTTTCTAACACAATGGTATTAGGGATTTGCTTTCAAAGTTTCCTAACGCCACATGGTTTGCATAGTGGAATAAGAACATCCCAAAATTCCCTGTGCATTGATTCAGAAAGATAAGAAAGATAAAGAGAACTTTATTTTTGGACATGATGCTAAAGCTCTGCTGCCCTCTCTGTGCCCTTCCATGATTAATAGCCCAATTTTATAGACTTGGTTGCTGTAATGAATGTGAACAGCATGAGATTAGAATTATTTATTGGTGCCTGTTGACCAAGCTATGTTGAACTAATTGAAAGTAAACAAAAGTGACTATTTATTTGAACTCCTTGTCAGAAATGTTTAGAGTTCAGATGAAATCGTCGACTAAAAGTAGCAAAACCAGCACTTCAGGCCATATTTAGGTCCCTACATAAACAGGGGAAAAACAGGTCCATTTAACTGGAAGTGCTGGGTTGCCAAAAGAGAAGTACAAGTATGCGAATTGTTGTTAAAATATTATTCTTATTAAATTCTAGCTGCTAGGAGAGAATTTCTGCCCTTTGTGTAAATTTCCTATCTTGAAATGTGCTGTCATTCTTGAGAAAAATGAATTTTTTAAAGTGAAAATTCTGCAAGCTTGAAATTGGAAAATATCAAATTATGATGTTTAATAATCTCAAAGCATTAGCAAAGGAAGAATAAAATATACAACAGTCATGATTGTATAATCAATGAGTGTGTAATATAAAATATATCAAATATTACATATAATGAATTATTAAGAATAAAGTAAGAAAGGACAAAATCATAATATTTTGAATACCATAAAAACAAATGATGGGTGACGTGGCTGAAATATTACCTTTAGTCTGAATTGATGGTTTCTAAAAGAAATTCTGAATCCAACAAAATTGCATTTTTGAAAAACAAATCAGCCAGATCTAATTCTAATCATATCTTAAATATAAAATAGATCCTTTTCGATCTGCACCTTGCATCTAAACTCTCTCATTAGCTTGAAGAAGTTTAGTGCAGATGTTTCTTTCTTTTTATGTTACCTTGATGGGGGAAAGTTAATTGCTCGAATTATAGCTAAACCAGAATATGTAGGAGGTTCGTTAAATAGTGCCCATGGTAAGCAGCCACAGCTGCCTTTCTGAATGTTTAAAGATTTTTTAATAAATATGTACAATATGAAAATGCAAAGCTACATTTCTGTTCGTATTTGGAAAAGAGGATTTTTTGATAATTAACTTCACACCAGGTACTGATAGATGTAAAGGCATCATAAACTGGTAGACTTAAAGGGATCATTGAACAGATATTGGTTTTCTTTGTCTAGCTGTTCTTTAAAATATTATGCATACTTACTTTAAAACTTTTGGATCTAGGGAAAAGGGAACTATGCTATTATCTCTGTTTGCTTTATTTAAATCTTGTTTCAGATTGCTTTTAATCATATGGTGCCTTGGAAATGCAACTTATTTTTACTCTAAAACTGAATTCATGATTGGAGGGGAGGGCACTGAGTTAATGGACAAAAATGGGGCTAAATTTAAATAAATTAATTTCTGATAAGGCTGAACATCCCTAAACAAAATAATATAATTGGGAATAAGAGAAGTTCATTTTTTATGTTGGCATTATTTTTGCTTTGGGTGATATGGCTGAGATACCATTGCAAAATCCTGCCAAAATTTGTGTTTTTTCTTGTTTCACATAGCTAACCAAAGTAGCTGTTTAATTATATTCCAGAAAATATAAACCTTGGCAAAACAATTATTTTATTACCAAAAAAAGTGAGCTACAAATCACTCCTCGCAAATCTGTCCTAACTTTTTGGCTGTTCAGTATTCCAAACTGGAAGCACATTCCTTTTTTTTTTTTTTTTTTTGTAATGTGTATGTCTGCATTTAAATACTTACAAAAACAAGTGAACAAAAAAGGCATTTGATTTACTACCATATTTCTGAAATATATTTTAAAAAGCTACAAATGCTTTTGAGAAAAATATTACAAATTACACTGGGCTTTAATTAAAAAGGCAATTTATGTGCTTGCCTGAAGAAATTTTGGCAGATGATTGTGAAAGAAAAATATGCCACCAGGCATAGTAATAGAGATTGTGGATTTAAAAGAGGAAAAAGTGGAAAAGAATTTTCTCTTACACGTGTAGCAAAGGGATTTACACAATCTGGAATGCCTCTCCCTATTTCAAAGTTCTTTATTCTAGCAGAGGATGCTGATACATTTAAATATATAGCTTGTATTTCTTTCTTCACGGCTAACATTTTTCTTGACTATTTATGTGTTTTAAACATATATATCCTTTTTCTTTTCTTCATGTTTTCTTTTCTTCATGTTCTTTTTTTTTAAAAAAAAAAAACTACACAACAATGTTACCTTAAACTAATGGGTATTGGATTCTCTTTATGGACTTTCTTTTGCTTTTATTTCACATCTGGAGGCAAAGAAAATAATTCAGACAGTGACTTTGGGGAAGAAGTATTTTGTTTTGTCAGTCGATGTAGATCTAATCCTTCTACTGTGCCGCCTGGGAAGGAAAAAGATGTATCATGGAAATGAGGGGGAAAGAAAATGTGCTGTTCTTGCAATTAATAACAGAGAGGGAAAAGGAGGGTTAAAAACTGAAAGCCTGGGTAAGCAGAGAGAGGATCATAGGGAAAACATCCTGCCTCTCAGCTTGAGCTTTTTTTTTTTTCCCATTAAAAATGTTTTCTAGTTTAAGCAAGAGAAAGCAGAAATTGTCTCACAGATGTTTTTCCGGTAGACACTGTTGAAAAGCTCTAATCCATAATGTCTTTAATATCTCATTAATTTAAGAACCCTGTTTTGTGTTTTGCTCCTTACTGCCAGAGTGGTTAATTACAGCCCCATTTACAGAAACAAAGAATATTCTGCAGTAATGGAAAGAAGCATCTTTTTTTCATGTTAATTAGGCAAAGGCATAGGAGAAGACTGGGAAATCACCATGCATTGCGTCTATCAGAAGGGAGGAAGACATGCTCTTAAAGGCTGTGCAGAGTGGTGATTCGTGCCATCTTCTCTTTCTGCTAGCATTTTTATTAAGTTTCGGGGCAGACAAATTTCTGCTTGCCATATTGGCAAGCGATGGTTGCTGACAAAAGATCATAGTCGGATGCTTTTTAGAATGGCCTAACAATATGTCTCTTGGGAAAACCTGGGGCAATATTGCAGTGCCCATTAACAAAGATTTGCTTGGCCTTTGAGAGGTCGAGTTCCCAGGTA